CTATATAATGCCTTTTTTCCTTATAAGCACCCTTACCCCTTATCATAATTACCGGTACCACTTTTCGTCTTTGATAAGTGCCCCGTTTATTTAAACATGTGCCACTTTTTCTTTTTAATAAGAGCCACTTCCCCTTTTCATTACCCTTTTAACAATGATATGTAACCTATTTCCTTTCTTATAAAGAACCTATCCCTTTTTCATAAATGCCCCTTTTCACTGCTTATAAATGCCCTCTATCAAAATCTGATGGGTGCCTCTTTTCCGTCGACAAATGCCCATGTTCTTATCATCCCTGGTGCATGCCTCTTTGTTTAGGTGTAAGTGCCCCATTTTCACCTCTGATAATTAGCCTTTGTACTTTGACACATGCTTCTTTTCTTTTCTGATAAGTGTCTTAACCCTTTCGATAAGTGTCCCCTTTTCCTCTCATCATTAAACGTGTCCCTAATTTCAAGCGACTAAAAGCAATTTCCCACAAAGCTCGCTCGCTACGCTTGCCCATAGTTATAGACGTTATAATTATGTAACTTATCACAGATCTATTCAGTCTTCCGTTATGAGATTGTGCTTATATAATCCCATCAGGATTGGGTTTTCCTCTTTATAAGATGTAATTTTTCGCACTGCAAGCCAAAAACTGCAAAGTATGATACTTAAAGACCTTGACCGGAGCGTACACAACCATACATCCACAGACGGCTAATGAAACACAAAATACAAATACAAGAAAGAAAAAATTAAATACCCTTTCATTACTGAGAAAAATGAAAATTACAGTACAACTGCCGCCCCCTCCCAAATTCGCCTCGGTCAAGAGCCCCCGCGCCGCACGGACTTGGGTGACGTCATTTCGTGTAGACTCGAATTGTTTGCTATAATTCTTCGCCGCGCGATGTTCGAGATCTACATTGATTTTGCGTACCGTGAATCCTTTCTGCTTTTTATCGATTGAAGTTTGAGAAGTTTTGAGAAGTCTTTCTAAAGAGAATGGCTACCCCAGTCGTCAGGGCAGATGCACAAGATGATTTAGTTATGGAATTTGAGTGTGAGGAGGATGGCAGTTGCGGGGAAAGCGGTGAAAATGACAGTGTCAGTGGTAGTAGTGACAGTCCGGACAGTGGCAGCAGCAGTGATACCGACAGCGATGCAAGTGATGCAGACGCCGGAGAACACGGGCGTATCGTCGAGTGGGAGTATGAGCCTTTACCTCGTGGTGAACCTGGGCAAAATGTTGGCGATGCTGGAAGGGCCAACAACGCAAATAGGCTTCATGAAAATGTCGAGGATTGGTAATTAAGACTTATCACTTATAAGCTTATTGAATTTGTTGTGCATTCTAAATATTTATTCCCCAAAAAAATTGAAATCAAATACCGTAGATCTCTAGACTCGGTCATAAATGGCATGTCTAATTCTAAAGTTAACTTGTTAGAATGATTCTCTAGATCTATGTCTGCGCACCTAAAATTCGACCTCGATTTCATTACACAGTAAGATATTATTTTTAGAATCATCATTGTTATTCCGTTCTTCATATTCTAATGATTACTGAAACAAAAAAACTCGACAAATTATTCACAAGAACAATTTTTTTTACGAATTTCAGACGGGCTCGTCATTTTGTGTAGCAAAACTGAAAAGTGCCCATGTCTGCGCACTCACTATTTTGCACGCAATTCAATCAAGCACAGTGAAGTTTCATACCAGGGACAACCCCCTGTTCAGACTTTTCTGTTTTGACAATGATTGAAATTTTCAGGGTGGCAAATGAAACTTGCTAAAACTCATTTTTAATCTTCCCAATTATTTTCACAAATTTTGGTATCTAAATGAATTGTTGAGGTTAAGATTGAAAATTGGTGTCAGTTTGATGTTTTGTTCTATAAATATCGCGCATTTACGTGGGTGCGCAGACATAGGCACTGCCTTGGGCACTCTTACCATACTACGACTATGAGAACGATGTCATTTTTATATTTATCAGGAAGCTGTAATAAAATATTTATAAAATTATAGTAGGTGTATTGATTTTTGTTTGAATCTTTCTGTATTTCAAGGTGTACATGTGGAAGATGTCGTGTGCCTCCATCTTTCAATGAAGGTGATTGTGTCTGTTGTCAGGAAATTGCAGAGGTCAAGGCAGAGGCTGATCGACAGGGTTCAAGTTGTCTGGTGGATTCTGAGGAGTTTGAGCCGGCCATCCTAAATGCGACAACATTGTACATCGGATGGATGGAGTACACAGATAGGTGGCGCCGAGCAGCCAAAGCATTTGGGGACAGGAACAATGAGTAAGTTATGTTTCTCCTTTTCATCATTTTGGCAAGGGCAAAAAAATAAATGGATTGATTTTGAAAGTTTATTGGGTGAAACTTTTCAAAACGAATTGAGTCACCGCAAGATGAATTACTAGTTTTGACCAAAATTCTTGCCTGGTGACCACTGGTGTACTAGCTGCCTTATCTGCAGGTGCTTCGGGGCACTTTTTCAGGAAATGTATACAAATAGGCAAGAATGACCACCGATTTGTGAGTTTTAGCATGTTACCCCCCCCCCCCCCCAATAATCTGTAGTTATGAAACACAAACTTTATATGCGATTTTGAATGTTGCCCCCCACCTCCCGACAAACAATGACTAACCCTTGGTCATTTTAGTTTTTTTAATCATTTTTATTTTCCTGAATTAATTAATAAAGAATTAATATTTTGACATATCAAATCATCTATCCTAAGAAAAATAATGAAATTTTTTTATTGCTTTTTATTTTACAGAAAATACAGGTATGTGGCCTACAGGAAAGTCGTGAGATGGTGTTGGGGCTGGCTCGGGAAGGACATCAGGGTGCAACTGCCAGCATGTGTCCATGCCTCAATAATGGAAGCGTATCCTGATGGACGTGGTCAGTACAAAGGGACCATCCTGCGTCGGTTGAGATGAGGATGTAACATCAACTATTGTCTTGCGAACTTTGAATGACTGTCATCTTCTATGTGATTGTCAGCCATCTTCTGTACGTTATTTGTGATCATCGGCTTTCATCTTCATATTCATCACAAATACTATTGTTTGAACTTCTCATGATGGTATGGTTGCTATGAACTTTGATCTCGACATTTGATTCTAATTTCCAAGAGCTGATATTCGAACTTTTGCAAAACTGTGATCAAGCAACGATTTCTTATGAGGAAGAATGTTGAAATCTATATAAACAAGCAACAAAAAAAAAACAAAAAAAAACACAACATGCCTTGTTCCTTCTCTTTTGTTATACACCCTGCAATGTAATTTGTTTTAATAATTTGAGCATTTCATATACAGTCAACCTGCCGAGTCAGAAAAGGGGAGAGAAAGAGAAAATGAAATTGAAAGAGAAAACGAAATTGAGAGAAAGAGAAATAACAGCATGGACACAACAAAGATAGACAGAGGAATAATGAGAGTAAGAGAAGGGAATTAGGGTTGACGAAATTTCAAATGTGTGATAAATGGTAAGCATCGTAATAAATCCAGGAAATCCTTTATTTTGCATCAAATCTATCCTCCCAAAAAGGATAAACCTTAACCCTATCTCCCACTCTGTCCCTCTTCCTCTCTCTTTCTCCTCTTCCACCCTCCACATTCCCATCTCTCTATCCCACTTCCTCTCTCTGTTTCCTCTTCCATATTTCCATCTCTCACTCTGTCCCTCCTCTCTTTCTCCTCCTCCACATTCCTATCTCTCACTCTGTCCCTCCTTCTCCTCTTCCACCCTCCACATTCCTATCTCTCACTCTGTCCCTCCTTCTCCTCTTCCACCCTCCACATTCCCATCTCTCACTCTGTCCCTCCTTCTCCTCTTCCTCCACATTCCCATCTCTCACTCTCTCCCTCTGCCTCTCTTTTCCTCCTCCACCCTCCACATTCCCATCTCTCACTCTTTCACAATCTCTCTTTCTCCTCTTCCATCCATCACATTCCCATCTCTCACTCTTTCACAATCTCTCTTTCTCCTCTTCCATCCATCACATTCACATCTCTCACTCTTTCACAATCTCTCTTTCTCCTCTTCCATCCATCACATTCACATCTCTCACTCTATCCCTATTGGTATCTATCTTTATCCCTCTTCTTCCTTCACATTCTCTATCTCACTCTCATTTTCACAGCAATTTCCATCTTTAAATTATGAAGCTTCCTACAAGACACCTATAATAGAAATAAACAAACAAGATTTGTGTTCCTTTAGATGAATTTTTGTTTACCTTTGCTCAAAATATTCTCAGAACATCCCATTGACGGTTTTTCCCCCCAATCATTTTCTTCTCTGTTTGTGCAATATATTTCAAAATGATGCACCATTGGAACAAAAACTTTGATGCAACATGTACATTACATTCATCCTTATTTTATGTAAAGTTTACAGGATAGATGACTATTTTTATTATATCTGCAAGGATGATTATTTTTCAATCTTTTATAACCAGGTTTTAGGACAAACAGGAAACCGCTGTTAGGAAAAAAAGTATGGATGCGATGAAGTATCATCACAATGTTTCCTCTTCTGTGATAATATGGCATGATCTTTAAAACTACTAACTTTGAAAATGAATAACACAATTCACCTCGGCAGAAAAGGGAAAAAATCAAAAACAAAAAATAAAGTCATATCTGGTGCAATACATCAAATGGTTCTTGTTGGTGATGAAATCATTGGTGATGACACTGTTGGTGAAATCATTGTTGATGACATTGTTGACGTTGATGATGTTGTCGTTGTTGGTTTGAGGAACCAATGATCTGTAAAGGGTTGAACAGCCTGCTGCCGACGGGAATGGCATTTGGTAGAAGGCGCGGCGTAATTTTCCTGAAGCCATACTTAAACTTCAAGACTTGAGACGAATCATACTGGTCTCGCTCAAAATGACCACTGCAGACATGGACATGGACCCTTTCTCGGGCATCGAACCCTTTTAACTTCAGTTGAATGAACTTCACCCATGCTCGCCTGATGGATCCTTCCTTCGGTAGTTCATGTATGGCAAAGCCATCATGAATAGTGTTGCTGCACCCATACAAGACACACCGGTTTCCCCCAACAGGCTTCGGCTTCTTGCTGGGCTCACCTTCCTCATCTGTGTTACTCCGTTTTGACATGCTGATAACTGCAATCTATAAAAAGAAAACAATACACCAATATTACAATTGATAGAAGATTAAAATGAATATAAATATGTCAAAGATCTACATGTACATTTACATCTAGACTTATAAAGTCGGGCAAGATAAAAATTAGTGCGAATCCTGTGATTCCTTATTCTTTATCAACTTTTGTTTTGTAATGCAAAATTTATCATTTTCAGGTTTCATTTTTCACAAAATATGTTTGAAATTTTGACAAAAATAACCTCATGATTTATAGATCTTGTACACAAATTAAAAAATTTTGGCAATAGACTTGTGGTCTTCCCATTTAGAATTAGCAATGAAATATTGCAATGATTTAAAAACTCATCTCTAATTGTAAGATCTTCTTTTCAAAGCTGCCTTGACAAAATAAAACTGTCAAATTTAACCATATAAGACTTTCAGAAGAGAGATGTGGCAGAGACAATAAGCAAGATCAAGATAAAATGGCAAAATAATAAATGATCTATAACATTAACATTGCTATTAAAGTTAGACAAAAGTTAGTTAAACTTAGTTTCATAGAAAAAAAAAAGCAAAGTTAATCTGTAGTCGGATAAAAAAAAAGAAGCAAAGTCAACAACAAATGACCGATGATTTTGTTTTAATAATCATCCCTGGCAACAACACTAGATCTAGACCATTTTGATTTGAATAAAAACAGTGTTTTCATCACGAGAAAGTATCAAGAAGAGGCACCCATGTGATTTCTGACATCAATTCAAAATAATTTAGTTCCTGGCTTCACTGTACTGCAGTGCACTGCCACTGGGCGGCACGAGTCCAAGGCCTAGATTCTACCAACTACCTAGTTTTCTTTTTCTTTTTTTTTACCTTTACCTTTACCGCAAATACTGGAAGAATGCTGAGACAGCAGTCGAGCTTCCAGATCTATCTTCTTGGTCTATCTTCTTGCACTCATACTCTTTAATAATAATTCTCATTATATGCAAGGGAGGCAGAGGGGCAAGAGGTTGCATTTTTAGGCCCAATTCTTCTTCAAAATCTCCATTTCATCTTCTTCTTATTTTTCATTGTTTACAGACTATATTCTAGACAATAAAACAATGTAGATCTAAATAATTCTTTGATTTAATGCTGGTAAACCATGCAAAAGGAAAGGCTATTTGTGCGATAAAAGCGAGCGAAACTTAGTTTTGTTCGAGAAATATTCCACGACCACCAGCATGACACGGCGCGGCAAGTCAGGCCGGGCCGGCCGCGGCCCGAGTGCTCTCGCGAGGCTCAGCGATAGATTGCTGAAAGTTGTGCAATCGCAGACCGAGCTAGGCAGGCAGCCAGCAGCGCGGGCAAATGATTCGTTTCAATCTAATTTAGTGGAAATTTGGGGTTGATATTCCATATTACGTAGCGTGAAATTAATACAGATATAAAATGTCAACATTCTAATCGTAAAATGTCCAAATACAGCTTCGACATTGATATTTACAACAACAAAAAAAGAGAGAAGAAAACTTCACATACCGACCACCATATGAAGAACCAGCTGCTATACCGAGTGGCCAAATAACCTACACGTTATGATGTCATCAGAAACGGGTAGAAACGGCCAACGGCTAGCGCAGCCGAAACTAAATCTCCGGGGTGCCCCTCTCAAATCCGTGAATCCTGGGGTTCGGATGCTAAATACTTCTTTCAGAGGCCGTGGAATCTCGAGAAGTTTGCATTTTCATATTCAGTAAATATTCACGAGTCCGTAGGTATATAATTTGTCTATATAATGCTCTGCTCCGGTCAAGGTCTTTAAGCAATATCTTAAATGCTGTATTAAGAGAAACAAATATTGAAATCATCCCTGATAATGTAATCACAAAATAGGGGTATATACCAATGTCAAAAAAATGGTATATTTTCCCTCTGAAGGTGCCCTTTTCTCAAGAAAGTGCCCTTTTTGTTGGTGCCCCCCCCCCCCCCCCACTTTGGAAGTTGCTCCGCCCAAAGGCTCCGCCGCCTCTGCGTATAAGTAAACATAATTGTCGACTACCCTAGGGGTCTTCTCTTATACAACGTCCAACAATTAATAGATTTATCAAATGAACTGCACACTTTGGAGAAGAAAAAATCTTTAATATAGGTCTAGATCTAGAAAAGTTATGACAACTTGACAAGCACACTGGACACACACAACATCTGAACATTAAATAAATGAATCCTAGGTCTAATTTGTTTGTTTTTGAATATTTTTATTAATAAGTTCCAGGTTTACGTCTAAATGAAATATGGTTTGGAGCTGTTTGATTATCCATGGTCACAAACAATTTTGGTCTAAAAGTTGACACGCACCAATGATGCAACTGAGCGAACGGATAGCACTTAGTCTTAGTAATACTAGTATAGCCAACAGAGTCGACATCTACTAAAGATATAGATCTAAACAAGAATTAACCCTCTTGGATTATTAAAGAAATCATACTTCATAGATTATTTTAAGGTGTAACGTTAAATCTAGATTTAAATTCAATGGATGATTGGTGAATTAGATTCACGATGACGATCAAATTTGGAATAAAACCTGATCAGAAAGTTTTATCTTGATGCAGATGAGCACCGAAATTCCCCAACGTGGGCCTGCCGGAACCCCGGGGCTCTAAAGGGTGACATGAAGGCAAACCGCAGTCAAACTACTTCACGACGATGAAAATCAAAGTGCAATTTCAAGAGAAATATTTTCCTAGCCTTTTCCCCACAAATCTGTTGAGAACAGTCTCAAAATGTAAAGAAATTACAGTAGATCACGAATTACAGCTTTTTCAAATTAATGACTAAATTCTCTTAATCTACTGATATTTCAATCAATTACTCACCCATATGCATTCTCCGTGAACTAAACCTTCTCACTTTGTGCGAGTATAGCGCGCGTCGTGCATTCCCACCTCGATATGAATATTTAAGAGAATCGAGACTTTCCCCGACCCTGCCTAATGAATATTCATGATAAAACAGGAATCCGGCCTCGCCGTGGTACGGTACGAAAAAATAAGACGCGGCCTGGGGAGAAACTGCTGACTAGATTTTTCCGTAGAGATCAGTGGGCTGGACCAACTGCTGACCTGAGACAATCATCCACGCGGTGGGTGATTGTTCTCTTTACAAAGTACGCTCAAATCAGAGACAACTTTATGCAGCTTACTGGCCAAGACGCTGGGAGAGCCATTATTTTATCACGAAAACGAAGGGTGAATGCTTCACAAACCTATCGTTAATTGGCTTCAGCTCTCACACCTCCTCACTCGATCTTTCACAACATCTCTCTCAGTTTCGTACTCCACGTTTTTATTCATGGTATTTCAACACAACAGTCAGAGTGCAACTTCGACCAACAAAATGCTGAAAAAAGACAGTAGATCTAGACCCTATTAGGTCTACAGTCAAGCTTGTAAGTTGAACCGATGTATTTTGCCTAATTTTAATGTATAGCCTAAATGTATTGCATATGAATTTGCTTAAATTACATTTTAGTCCAAAGTTTGGTGGCGTACTTTGAATGAGTGTTACAATTACGTTCGGCTACCACCAGTACCACCAGAGTAGGACGTCTTCGGCATCGGCGTCGGAGCTTCCAGGAGCTGAGTTGGTGTCTGATCGTGCACCCTGCCCTGCTGCATGCTGGTGTGTGCTAAAATCCTTCCCATAGCGATTGCACGCATCCCTATGCAGTCTACGTGCATTGCGTGACCATGCAAAATTGGTCAATGTTTTTATTACCAAATCGAGATTCAAACCTTTATTCATTGCTTGTGATTCTGAACGTGATACTCAATAAATGAAGTGTCAATGTCATATGAAAGAGCATTTAAAAGAGGGGTCATCTCAGAATTTTAAAAAACATTGATTTAAACATAATTGTTGTTTCCATCGAACGGCCATCCTTATTTTGGTTCAAGGCATGGCATGGCCACACAGAATTTGTTAATGTTGGCGAGAGGGGTGAAATACAATGAATTATTGATAATTTATCGCATTTTCTTTGCTTTTAAAAAATTTGTGGGGGCTGCCCCCTACTCTAGCCCCTGCTGCCTACGGTCCTGATTCAGTGGCAAAGCTATTAATGGCCTCGTAACTGTTAGGCCCCAGGATCAAAACCGTGTCGGCCGGTGCTATAAGCCCGGGGGGGGGGGGGGGGGGGGGGGGGGGGGTACTCACGCATATTGGGTATACTCACACATACTACTATAGGAGCATCACTATCCTGGTTGTGTAGTAAAAGCTGTGCTTTTGATTCTCAACATTTCAAACACGGTAACACCACTGTACAAAACTCAACTGATTTCACCAGAAATCGGTACTTTAGTGACAATCGATGATACCTAAATAGATCTAGCAGTAAACTACATTTTTTTAACTCACTGATGTTTAAAAGAATAATTTTAAAATTCAAATTGGAAGTCTAGTGTCAAACTTTGCTTACATCTGCATCGACATGGATGTGTGTAGATTGTGTGGTGTGTATATTTGTGTTTAGGTCTAATAATACCTGCCTCACAGCAAGCATGCAGTGCTAGAGGTTAATACGCATTAGCATTGACTCTCCATGCTTTGCTGGAGTGGATATACGGTGATGTGCTGCTCAGAAGGGTCACTTTTTCAGGAAAGATCCTTAGACATGGGTCCCCTTTTCTACCCCCCCCCCCTCTTTTTCACTTGCTTGCTGTTTCACCACAAATATTTCCTGACGAATTTGGCAACAACAAAAATTTATGAATTGATTCCCCAAAATTAAAAAAATTAGTGCCTCTTAATTTTTGCCACCACTGGGGCAGTATCCCAGGTCCGTTCGCCGAAAACGCATGCAATTTTACTTCGAGTTGAAGTTGAAGGCGCCAATTTAATAATAATATTAACAGTAAACAATGCTGTTTTAAAAACCAAAGATGACAGAATAATCCATTTTCCTCCGAGTCCAAACAGAAATCCGGACATTTGGTCCCAGTTTCTGAGTGATGAGTTTGACAGTGCTTGAGTTGGGAAACATTTTTACCGACGGTACCATGCCAGCAGCCGCCGCTCTCCCTGGCACGGGTAAGCGTCGGCCTGGACTATTTTTTGCGGCCGAATATTCGAGTACGAGAAATCGTACTCGAGTAGTTGTCAACAGTGCGGGTACTTGAGCATTCGACTACTCGTCACAGCCCTAACCCATTCATCTCATCTATGAAAAAAATAATGAAGTTACGTGGAAAAAAATCTAGAAAAAGTGATATCATTTCAACTTTACCCTAAGTTAGTGTTCGGATCGAAAAAAGGCCCTCAAAATACTCGTACAGCTGGAGACGGACGCGTACGCGCGTCCGTCTATATTCTTGCCAGGATTCTTGCTTGACGATGTCATTGTATTTACATAACTGATTTAGATGCATAGTTAGAAAGTAGAATATGAAACACAAAAAGAGTTATTCAAACATTGGCAGATCTATAAAGGCATTATGAGACAGCTATATGTATATTATTGCATTATATTATTTATGATTCAAGGCTTTGGATTATTGGTTTTGTTGATGAAGATGATTACATGGCAATTTTCCATCGATGATTGGATGATTTTTACTGGGCCACATAAGAGGGCGTTGTTTTCCTCACATTTCCAGAGATTCATTGTAGTTATTCATATAATAACCAAAAACCAGTCTAGCTGTTTAATGGTTATCCTGGGATTTGTGTGTCATTTTATTCCATAAAATATATTTTGGCAATAGTGGTAAGATGGTAATATGATAAGGCACATGACTGCTTTTTTTCAGATGGCAAAATGAATATTTCAAATTATGAGAATCGAAGTTGAAAGCATTCAAAGTAAATATTATTTTTGTTTTCAAGAATAAAACAATGACAATTTTCATCTCAAAATTCATTTCCCAAATAGTCCTATATTTGATTTGCACATTTCAAAGAAAGGGCATTTAATGTAGATCATGGCATAATGTTGGTCAGAATATAGTTACAAAATGTGTCGAAAACTCATGTAAAACGAAGGCTTAGGCCTATTATTTATGATTCGGTTGATAATCGGCCAAGCTTTAGCAGACGACAATCCCAGGTCAATCATACACAGGATGTCACTGTCAACTCAAAAACTAGGACCAAACTAGCTGCCAATTAATGTCCAAATTTTTGTTTGAACTTGTTGTCATCTTTAGTTTTAAAAACAACATTGTTACTATTATTTGTGAAAAGTTCACAAGTATGAATCAATTGCAACTCGCAGTAGAATTGCATGGTTGGAGAATTGCAAATATTAATGCACGTTGTTATCTACCCATCTTCCTTTTTTACTGCATGTAGGTGTGAAGCAAGATGACCATAGAACAGAAAGTCAAAGAAAAATGTAGGAGGATTCTTTTGAGGATTCTCTAGCAGAAATGGAGGATACAGATAAACATCTGGTAGGTAATGATAAATACATGTATGTATGTTACTCTAATGATCTAAGGTACATGTAGCTTCTAGTAAAATGTAGTGGCTTTGAATGCAATAAATAGTTTTAGTCCAGTACTTAGACGGTACCATATACCAGTACCATGTACTGTACATGACCTGGAAAAATTGTCAAGTACAAGGTTTTTTGTTGATTCTTGTTCTAGATGGGTATTGAAGTAAATTCAGCTTGGCAACCTTGGGCAATTTTTGTAATAACCTAATTAGCATAATCATATAATCAGCATTTATGTGCAATATGTAATAATGTTGCTAATCTTAATCCAGGAAGCCTGAAAACATGGATAATCCGACTGTTGAAGGGTGCATGCATGAA